TGCACATCTTTTTGTGTAAGTGATTAAAGGCACTGTGAGAGTTGTACTTTAAAATGCAGCACTATTCTTAGTGTCTAAATATCCAGCATAAAAGGATTTAAATTTATTAGGGGATTGACTCCTGAATAAAATCCCAGCTTGAGTTTTGAGGATCTGCACAAGGATCTTTGGTGTTGGATATAGTTGGCACACGTGGACAAAACATTGATTGGTAGCAGTGTGGCGTAATACAAGATTTAACAGCAGTGACCACAGATGCATAGTTCTCATTTTCTCCTTGACTTAACGCCCCCAGTTCCTGTGATGTCACATTCTCAGAAGCACAGCTTCTTGCAAGGGTGAACTTTACTGTAACGTGCTTAGTGTTTTTATCTAATTATTACAAATATGTCATAAATATTTTTTAAGTAAAAGAATGTCTTCTATAATTTTTTCTTCCATTGAATCAAATATTTGCTGCTAGATATATGAGAGGAAGAAGGGGAGGGAAAAAGGAAATAACCAGGAACTGAAATGAAGCAGATTAAATTCCATGCAGGTATGAGCATGTCAAAATGAACCTACTATTACGTATAACTACAATGCACTAATAAAATCATTAAAAAGAAGTATAATAGAACCTAATAAATAGTATACAAATTTTCTGCGCCTTAAAAATAGCTTCTGTCATAATTGTGAAATGTTTTAATAGTGACAAGTAAATAGATCTTTAAGGAAAACATGAGGAAATTATCATTATATGAGTTAAATGAACATAACTACAATGATATAGTATTATAAATAGTATTACTATAACTATTAACAATTATATATAATTATATAACTGTTATAAGGAACTTACATTTATCTTATTAAAACATAAATTTTACATTAATCTTATTCATATCATAAATCAAGACACTAATATTATTTTCCCAAAAAATGTAATACTTCTAATAGCTCATTTATTTATTTTTTTGTTTTTCTTAATTTTTTATTCTAATTTGTTGTATATGACAGCAGAATGCATTACAATTCATATTACACATATAGAGCACAATTTTTTATATCTCTGGTTGTATACAAAGTATATTCACACTATTTGTGTCTTCATAGATGTACTTAGGATAATGGTGTCCATCTTATTCTACCATCTTTTTTACCCCCTTTCACTCTCCCATCCCCTTCCTCCCCTTTGCCCTATTTAGAGTTCATCTAA